ATGGCTCTTCAAGCTTCTATGTGGACATGGCGCAAGTTATGTCTGCTCACGTCTATCTGCACCAGGAGCAAGGATGGGGTAGATGGGGTAGACACTGCAAGAGGTCACATGGCTACAGGAATGGATATATAAAATCCTCTAGGAAGGGGGGACAAATAGCTGCAGACAAAAATAAAACCTATACAATGATCCAACATGTAAAAAGATTTGCCAGCTTAAAAGGCACAAAATCCTAAAATGTGAAAAATTCAGAGGAACTCAGAGGCCACTGTCCAAATCTGTCACAGTTCACCATACTACGAAGATCAGGAAAACTGGCAAACTTTTCAGGGGTACCAAGGATCCCAGTTTGTATTATCTTTATAAATGAAGAAACAGGATGTGGCTTTCCTGGCCCCATTCCACCCCAATACATCTACAGTAACCCCATACAGCTCCCCTCTGTGCTCATGAAATAACTGGAGGCCTTAAAGCCTTGAAATTATAGTAGTCCTCCTTTTGCTTTCCTCGGTTTCAGTTACCCATAGTCAACTGTAGTCCAAAAATATTAAATGGAATATTCCAGAAATAAACAATTCATAAGTCTTAAATGGCATGTCGTTCTGCGTAGCATGATGAAATCTCACACCACTGTGTGGGACATGAATCATCCCTTTGTCCAGTGCATCCATGCTGTACATGCTACCCGCCATTAGTCACTTAGTAGCCATCTCAGTTATCAAATCGACTGTTGCATACCGTGTATATAGGGTTCAGTGCTATCTGCAGTTTCAGGCATCCACTGGGGATATTGGAAAGTATCCACCATAAATAAGTGGGGACTACTGTAAATGCATAGTTTAAGTGTGTACATGTGGTTTGAGGGGTAACTTCTCTAAGACCTCTAACTCCACAAAGGTTTGAAACCACATCACTGGATCCTCAGTCAGTCTCCACAGGCCAGTGAGTTACTTGGGTCAGTTGCTGTNCATGCTACCCGCCATTAGTCACTTAGTAGCCATCTCAGTTATCAAATCGACTGTTGCATACAGTGTATATAGGGTTCAGTGCTATCCGCAGTTTCAGGCATCCACTGGGGATATCGGAAAGTATCCACCATAAATAAGTGGGGACTACTGTAAATGCATAGTTTAAGTGTGTACATGTGGTTTGAGGGGTAACTTCTCTAAGACATCTAACTCCACAAAGGTTCAAAATCACATCACTGGATCCTCAGTCAGTCTCCACAGGCCAGTGAGTTACTTGGGTCAGTTGCTGTGGTAACTACAGTAGATGGTGCCTTCAGAGAAAGAGTCCAAAGGAGTCATGACCAGGGCACCAAGTTTTGTATCAATTGAGGAGAGTGAAGACCAGCTGGATCTCAGTATCTTGACCAGGGAAGCTGCAGTTTAGGAAAGTCAGCAGCTCCTTCCCCACCAAGATGCAAGGAAGGACTGTCCCAAGGGTGACAGAAATAAAGTGCTAGACCTTAAAAGTGTATCCATCTGATTCAAGCGTGTTAGGGTCCAGGCAGAGGAAGGTGAGGAAGAAGATCCAGGGGTCCTGGCTCCCACAGCCTGCCTTAGTCACTTTACCTGGTGCACCTTTCTCCCCCAGAGATAATTCTTGCAAAAAGGAGAGGATCTTACACAGACCAAAAATGCTGGTGTCAGGGCTTTTACAAAGTACCTGCAGTGAACACAACAAAAGAGAGGGGTTAATTGAATTACAATCTTAATCGTCCATTGACCTTCCCAACAACATTCAAGGTGAACCTTTGGATGCGAGTCAACATGAAAATGCAAGTTTCGGGGGCCGGCCCATGGCTCACTTGGGAGAGTGTGGTGCTGATAACACCAAGGCTACAGGTTCAGATCACTATATAGGGATGGCCGATTAGCTCACTTGGGAGAGCGTGGTGCTGACAATTCCAAGTCAAGGGTTAAGATCCCCTTAACGGTCATCTTTAAAAAAAAAAAAAAAGAAAGAAAATACAAGTTCCGCACATTTGTTTGGTTGTTGATAAATCTGACAAATTAGCATGACATTCTCCCCTTATAACCTAGCCAGAACCTTTAGGCCAGTACTCCAGCATCATGCATGGCTGTGGCTAAACACAAATAAAACTACAAAACATACTTTCATTCATTCATTCAACATTCAGTGAGTACTTAGGGTAAGTCAGGCTTGTGCTGAAAACAGAGTTTAAAAAACAAACAAACAAAAGCATCCTCCTTGCTCTCAAGTTCAGTCCTGGGGAGAGGGAGAGAAGGAACCAATTAACAAGAGTAAGCACATTGTACAAGCATTTGTGAGGTACAGCATTAGTCCACGGAGGCACAATTCCTTCTATGGGGAAGTGAATCAGGAAAGGCTTCCTGGCAGATGCCATGTCTGAACATGGCTTTGATCTGGGGATGGGGTGGTGATGAGGCCAGGAGGGGCAGGCAACCAGAGTGTTTGCTGTTGCTGGGCCATAAAGCAAAAGGAGTGAAGAGGGTTGGAGAGGCGGCAGGGCCTTGGCCTCCCAGGTAGAATTAGGTGGGACTGGTTCTGGACAGAGGGGCTTGTTTCTTGGCTCTACACAGTTCAGGGTCTGGAGTTGCCAGAAACCAATCCTGAGTAGCCTCTTGTCTGTGCTAGTAATTTAAAAAGTAATCACTTTCAACATCATTACATTTTATGAGAAGCATGACATTGGTTTTCCTCCATGGATCAGTCTACTTTCTGTCTAGATTTCTCCTTTGCTTTTTGGAGAAGGGGTAAGGCCTTTAAAGAATTCTGGATAATTTGCTAATGACTGAGAAAATGAACAGCTAAAAATGTGTCCATAAGCTAGAAGGAAGATTTGGGGCTGCAGAAAAACATCACCAAGAGAAGTATTGATCAGATCTGGAGAAATCTTCCCTTCCTGCCTACCAAGCCAAAGCTAAGCATCAAGACCAGCTAGACACCCCAACCAAATCAATAAACATTCACCAATTCCCATCCCATCTGCCTCTTAAACCTTTCTCCAATCCATCTCCCATTTCAGGCCTCACTGTCGAACAGTACACTTCAAATCTATACATTATTCTGTACATTTTACCTAAAAA